CGATTCTGACTCATAGCAGCCCTATAAAACAAAGTAGAACTGCCCCATAGAGCCTTCAAGGTTGTAATCTATATGGAAGCAGACTGCCACATCTTTCTCCAGTGGAGCAGCTGGTGGGTTAGAACTGTTGACATTTCAGTTAGCAGCCAAGAGCTTAACCACTGTACCACCAGGGCCCACCAAAATAGACATAATAAACAATAACACACTGAGAAAAGTGCTCTTTAGAACAATCATCTACATGAAACCAAAAGAACATATGCCCAAAAGTAAGATGAGAGGGCAGAAGGGGCAGGAAAACCGGACGAATGGAAATGGGGAACTCAGGATGGTAACGGGGAGAGTGCTAACACATTGAGAGGAGTGCAACCTATGTCATGGAACAATCTGAGTATAAACTATTGAGTGGGAAACTAATCTGCTCTGTAAACTTCACCTAAAACACTATATTAAAAAAAAAACTTTACCAAGTGCTTATACTATTAGGCACTGTGATATGCACTAAGAACGTACAGTTGGGAAGGTATTTTATACACACTGTCATTTAATATTCACAATAGCTGTATGAAGTGGGAATTTTAAAAATCTCTTTTACAGATGAAACAAAGGAAGCGGCCTGACAATCTACTTCCAAAAAATCAGCCATTGAAAACCCTACAGAGCACAGTTCTACTCTGACACACATGGGGTCGCCATGAGTCAGAATCGACTCGACTGCAACTGGTACTAGTAGAAATGAGCAGTGGTTAAGAGCTCAGCACAGAGAGGTTAAGTTATATGCCAGCATCACACAGAGCCAGGATATGAGTTCAAGCTGGCCTGATCCCAAATTCCACACTCCATGCTCATCCCACTGGCCACACCATACTGTCTAACTAAAACCAAAACCAAACCAAACCCGCTGCCATTGAGTCGATTCCGACTCATAGCAACCCTATAGGACAGAGTAGAACGGTCCCATAGAGTTTCCAAGGAGCAGCTGATGGATTCAAACTGCTGACCTTTTGGTTAGCAGCCATAGCTCTTAATCACTGCACCACCAGGGCTCCTATTTTCTAACTAGTCACCTAAATGTCAAGGAAGACGACATTATGAGATCCTTTGTAAAAAGCCGTTTTCTGCCTCAGGAAATTTGCTCTTTGGTCTAACCTAAGCCTCTTGCCCCAAGATTTGAAAGCTGCTCCTATTGTATCTCCTCAATCTCCCTTTCTTTCCTTTTTTTTTTTTTTTTTTGCCTTTAGACCTTGGTCCTTCCTCATCTACCAGAACCTCCTGAGCTTGTGGCTACTTGCCTTGTGGGAACTCTAGGTGAGACGTTGTTCTAGGAGGACCTTCCCCAGCCTGAGAAAAGTCCCTCTGCAGCTTTCCCATACCTCAGCTAGGATGCCTATTCCAGAAGATGGCTTCCTTCAACCTCCTCTCCTCCAGGAAGCCTTCCTAGCCTGGCGGTTTCTCATGAGCCTTCACCCCTTAGCCTTTAGGTACTCTATTTCCTCTACACCTATCTGAACTTAAGATGATCCTACAGCCCTTCAGGCATCTTACATCTGCTTCTTCTTTGTGCCTGTGTCTACCCCATTTGTCGGAAGCCCCCAAGGGAGCCGTGCGCAAGGAACAGCTGGTCCCAAGTCCTGCTGTTCAGGCAGGGCCCTTCTTTGGCGGCTGGAGAGAGGATGATGTGTTCCCTGTTGACTCCTTGCAACCCTGACCTCCTCATCCTAATGAAGAAGTGTATCAGCTGCTGCTACTTCTGCCACATTTCATCTCTGAAATCCGATCCCCTTCCCCTTCCAGCTTTCCAGATACCTCACTAATCAAGTCAGGATCCTTAAACCCTCAGCCTCCCAGCAGTGCTCACTTGTTACAATCCAAATTTTCTGCTTCAGGAAATTGGGAAATTCTGCTACTTTGGTTTTCAGGAACAGACTCTTCTTGTCTAGAATTTTTGGGCCAAGGACAGGGACAGGATGAAGAAGGGGAGCACAAAACACCCTCAACGAAGATAATTTTATGACCCATTCGTGTTTCTTTTTCCACCTGGTTTACCCCACGGGGTCTGCAGGACATATGCTTCTTGAAGGGATTTTGGTGGGATAAATGAAATGTAGAGCTCAGTGAGTGCCATTCTGTGGCATACACCAACTTAGGGCAGAGCCAGGCAACAAAGTGCTCCTTGGTGACAAGGGAGACCCTGCCTGGGATGAACCATCTGCAGTGCAAAAGCCCCAGAGCTCGTAACATAAACTGAGAATGTGCCTTTCCTACAGCCCATTGCAGACCTGGGATGTAAACAAGCCAACGCCTTCCTATCTCAGCCACAACCAAGTTGCACTGAATTCAATCCCCACAGCCCTCAGAGGAAAGTGGTCAAAGGGCTGACCCTGGGCTAATTCAGCTTTACTTTCCCCTTCTCTCCCATTAAGGAACACTAGTGGCGCAGTGGTTACAGTGCTGGAGTGCTAACAGAAAGGTCGGCTGTTCGAAACCACCACTGCCGTATGGGAGAAAGATGGGGCAGTCTGCTTCCATAGAGATTTACAGCCTTGGAAACCCTATGGGGTCGCTATGAGTTCTGTACACATTTACAGCCTTGGAAACCCCTATGGGGTTGCTATGAGTCAGAACTGACTTGACGGCAGTGGGGTGGTCTCTCCTACTGGGAAAACTGAGGCACTGAGATCCAGACCAGCTGCCCAAGCATTACGCTGAGGTATCAGGGAGGGAGGGAGACTCTCACAGCTCTGCCTGTCACTCTGTTCCATCTCATCTCTGAGCAGGCTGGCATTGGGGAGGGGGCGGAGCACCATGGGGAAGGGGGTGCAAACCTCTCCCATCTGAGTGTCATTCTGGGCCCTGGGCCAGGCGTTTGGCTTCCTCACAAGAGAGTCAAAGGCTGAAGCTGCTCAGACAAAGGGCCAAATGAAAGCTAGTAGTGAGCCTGGTGACTTCAGCGTTTCCCCTTCCTCTTCCTGGGGTCTGGGGGCTCAAGTCCTTGGCAGGAGAGGGTGCAAATCAAGCTCTGGAGCTCAGTGCGGTGCAGACTCCTATTTGCCTTTTTTATTCTCCTGGCATCCACAGACTGTCTTCCTCCCCTCACCACCTCCCACCTAGGGTGCTGTAAAAAATGCAAATAAGTAGGATTTTAAAATTCCAGCCCATGCCAGGAACACCCACAAACCCTTCATTAAGACAGATCCTGAGGTGGGTGGTGTGGTCCCCGATTCCAAGCACAAAGAGGAGGATTCTATTAGAGTCTTTTCTCAACATGGGCCTTGGACCTCAGACATTATCTGTGACGACCTTGATCTTTCTTTGTGACACTGGACAAATGAACGGGAAAAGTCAGAATTGTGCATGTGTGGGCTGGGGCTTCCCACTGGCATGGGAAGCATGGGAAGACTCCAGCATGAGAAGGGGCATAGTATGGGTTCAGAGGAGCAACGATGGGGATGCTTCTGTCCCTCACCAAAGTAACCTGAAGTTACTGGGTCAGTAACTTTTACATTTGAGTGTCACTACAGAAAAGGCGTCAGGAAGAAGGACCAGAGAAAGGACCACTGCCTGAGAAGGCTGGCCCTAGAGCAGGACACACAGGAAGAGTGCCACAGAGACGTGACAAGGAAGCATCAAGAAGAACACCTGCTGCTTCAAGCCCAGTCCTCCCCACAAAGCTGTCCTGGGACACAGCTTGCCAAGCGCCCTCCCCCCACCCCCCAAAGGGAAGAGTGGAGAGTTTGCAAGTTTGCGGGCAGGAGTGGGAGAGGCTGTCATGGAACCTGGAGAGCCATGGGCTGGCACATTCTGGATCCAGGTCTGCTGTTGTAAGCCTGGGTGCCCCTGGCTCTGAAAAGTAAGAAGAAACGGGAGGGAGAAAAGTGAGACAAAGAAGACTTCCGACTCCAAGAGAGACAAACTAAAAGACAGTCACAGACAGGGGCAAAGACATGACAGCCTGGTTGACAGAGAGCCAGGCAGAGCTGAGAGTGGCAGTGCACGTGCATAATATCTGTCCGAACTCCGTGGCTGAAGGGAAAAGAAAGGCGAGGGTGGAGGGCGAGACTGGTATAGAAGTCAGTGGGAATCAACCCGGCCCTCCTTTGGCAATATCCTAGGAACCACTAACATAGCTTCAGTAGGAATCCCTTCCGTCATTTAGATGATTCCGCCCCCAGTCCCCAGACTGAGCTACTTCTTCCAGCCCCTGCACCCCGAGCCTCCGCACGCACCCTCCGCACTCCGCACGCCAAGACCTGACATCTGGCTGGGCCTTCGCAGCTCCCGCTCGCTATCTGCCAGGCGGCGCCCCTCCTCCCGCGCAGGGCCCTCCCCCGTCATTACAGCTGCCAGCCCCCGGCCCCCTCCCTGCTGGCAGACAAGCCCGGGCAGACAGCCGGCCAAGCCTTCCCCCGCAGCCGCTCCAGCTCTGCCAAGCCCGGCAGAGCTGGGGGCCCCAGGTGGTGCCAGCTCCCTTAGAGCGGTCCTCGGCTGACCTCCTGGCCCGGGGCAGGGTTCTGCCTGCGCACCCTCCTCCTGACGCCCCGCCAGCCCCGCGCACTCGAAGAGGCCCCAGGACAACGCCAGCACCCGGGCACAGCCCGTCCCGCTCCCGGGGTCAGTCGCTGCCGCTCTTTCTGTGTCAGCGCCTGGGTCTCACACTGTGTGTCTGTCTGTCTTTAAGTGCACTTTCTTTCCTCCCCCGGTTTTTCGGTGTCTCATCTGTCTTTCAGTCTGGGGTTGGCTGGCTCGCTGTCTCTCTCTGTTTCTCCCTCTGTCACTTGTTCTTGTCTGTCTCAACTCTCAACATAAATCTTTCCTCGAAGTTTCCTCGTGGCTCCTTTCCCTTAGGACAGGCACTGCCCTCCAGGGCCTGCCAGTCCACGTTCTCTCCTTTCCTCTTCGGCTTTCCTACACGTCCAGGCTTCCGGGGGCCCGGGGCCCGGGATAGGTACCGTCGAGGAGGAGCAGCCCCGCCCTCCTCCCAGCGCCAGCTCCGTTCTTACCAGCTCCTGTTTGAGGCGACGCAAATAGCAGTCCATTTCCCTGCTCTCCTTCCTCATGCGCCCATTTGCTGGGCTCCGCTCCACCAGAGAGTCCCCGGGTGGGAACAACCGGCTCCACCAGAAACTGCGCGCTGGGCCGGTTGCTCACCTCTGCGACCCGCGCCTCCAGCAGTGCGGAGCCGAGCCTCGGCTCCCAAGCCGGGACTTAAGGCAGCTTCCCGCGACTGCTCGCGGCTCGCGGTCTGTGTTGGAGGCGGAGGGAAAAGTGGGACAGCCAATGAGAATTCAGGGGCGATGTATTCAGCCAATGAGAAGAGCGGTCGCGGGGGGGAGGGGGCGTGTTGGGCCTCTGCGGGGGGACCCTGACGAGGGTGTTTGCCCAGGGCGCTAGTCGCCGCTGCTGGGGGGCTGGCAGGGAACACTTGGTCTAGGCCAGCGCGGGGAGAGCAACGTGACGCCAGACCATACCAAGGCCCAACAAACACGCGACCCTCTGGTTATGAAGGGAGAGCACAGTTTTATGGGTGGAGACTGGGTGGTGGTCTCAGTGAGCGGCTTTGAAACCATTTTAGTGATTTCAGAGTTGAAAATGCCATAGTATCAACCTCCTTCCCCAAACTCCGATCAGAGGAAGCAACAACCCCCTTTCCAGGCCTCCCAGAAGCCCCGCGGAACCTCTTTTCTTTTCCAGCGAGAACTCTGGGAGTGTGGCTCCACCTCACCTCCTAATGCTGGGTGCTCCCAGCCCGCTCCTCACCGTGCAGAGCGGAGGAGCAGATGCTCAGTCCACTCTTTTAACACAAAGCAATGGAGGGTCTACTGTTCGCCTGGCACGGTTGTAGGTTTGGGGATACTGAATAAGACAGGTAACATCTCTTCTCGCAAGAACTTGCATGGGGGAGGGGCTAGGTTAAAAAAATTAATTTTAGATAGTAATTATTTGTGAAAACATAAAATGGGAACTTCTGCATCAGTTATCCTAGTTCTTGCTCTGGACTTTTGCGAAGCGCTTTGTAAGGTTGGAGAAAGGAGCGGGACACTCAAAGATATTCCGATTCTATTCAACAGATACAGTCTGAGCTCTTAACGTGTGCCAGCTGCAACCAGGCTCTGCTGATCGAGTGGCTTCAGACAGACATGAGAAGGGCCGCAGACCTCCCGGGCGCTCCTCCCAGCCGAGCTCCGGACCCTCCACGCCCGCCTCAGCATCCTGGGAGCCGCCGTCCCTTCTCCGCGCGCTCGGGTGCTCTGCGCCATCCAGCCAGGCCTGCCAGGGGGGGTGTCGCACCGCCAGAGAGTAATTAGGGCAATTAGCGATATGTTGTGTCAAGGTAATTAACGGGGAAAGTTTGCCCCAGGCAGGGTTTAGGGGCTGTGCGTGGGGCAGTCTGATCTTCCTAGAACTGGAGTCAGAATTCTGGGGACGCCAGAGATGGCGCGAAGGGAGAACGCAGGCGCTGCTGTCATTCCGAGCTGTGTCAGGCAGAAGTCCACTTCTGCTAATTAGAGAAGGGTGGGGGGCGGCGTAGGGAGAGGGAGGAGAAGGACAAAGGGAAGAAATATGAATATTTTTAGAAGTGAAGACTTTTCACAGGCACTTAACCCCTGGTCCTCAATTACGGTAGACCTTGCCCGCGCCGCCGTGTGGCCTAGGCCTGGGTGCCCAGTTGGGGCGACGCTGGGGGCAGTGGTAGCCGATGGATACAGAAAAGAAAAAGGAGGCGCAGATTAGGCAGAGCCGGGTTGGGAGCACCGCATCCCAGTGGCGGCTCACCGAGCCCACGTGCCCGCGTTCTCTTTTCTGCTGCTAAACTTGATGCCGCGGAGGTCAGAAAACCCGACGGCCCGGGCATGGAGGCGCGAATCTGCTCACGCTTTTGCAACGCCCTCCGGGAGGGCTTGAAGTTCTATTTCCTTCCGCTCTCCCGGCCGCCGCGGCAAATCTGGCCTCTCCTGCTTCGTCGCAGTTGTGAGCTGAGATTCTCTACGGGGCAGCTTCCGTGAGATCTGTGGGGTGTTCAGAGTGGGAGCCGCTCCCAAGGACGCAGTTGAGGCCTCTAGGGCAGCGAACCCAGTTCTGGAGTTTAAACTTCTGGGACTGGGATAGAAAGGGAAAACTGGCCATTGACATGCAGTCCATAGAGGGACCCTTGAATGGAGAGAAACACCACAAAAAAAGTTCCCCAACCTCACCAGCCTTGCTTTGCTCAGCGGTAGATCTCCAGCACCGAGCACAGTGGCTGGCTTGTAGGAGGCTCTGAGAAAATGTTTGTGGATCTGTAGTTGAAATTGTCTTTAAGAGTCAAGTTTAAGCCCTGGCTTTCTCCATTCCTGGGAGATCACGGGGTTGGAATCCTTTTGGAAGTTGGGAAGCTGACTGCGTTTAAAACTGTAAGAGAAACAGGCTGATCTCTTAGCAAGCCCTTTGGAGTGGGTGGTCAGGTCTTCTACGTTGTTGACAACAGTATGACCTTGCACAAATCCTTTCTTTTTACTGCGCCTCAGTTTCTCTTGCTTGTATCTTAAACCTACGTGAGCCTAACACTTTATACTCCTTACAAACTCACTGTGTTCTGACAACAATTCTGTGTAGTCAGGACAAGGGAACTATTTACTCCATTTTACAGATGACGAATATGTTAGCAAAGCCAGCTGGCATTCCAGCCACTCTTAAGGTCAAGGAGATGGCAAGAAAACAAAAAAAATTGATGACCACAATCTCAATGCAGGACTCAAAAGAAAGGTCCTAGACAAGCCAGAGGTGCTATTACTGTGTAGTTCCTGTGGGAACTTTGGAGGCTTTGGAGGACAATAACTGTCAAACTCTGAAGTACTTTCATGATGCTGGGCTATTGCAACTTGCTTGTTCCCTTGCTCTGGAGAAGACCAACATTACCCCAGGTGTGACTGTGTGGGTCTCTCTTACCTTGTCTCTGAAGAGGTGGCTCTGTCATTTGGGCAGAGCAGAAGGCAGGAGTGGGAAAAAGAGCCACCTTTTTTTTTTTTTAAAGGGTTTAAGTGATAGAGAATAAAGCCCGTTGCTATGGTTATATAAACATGGGTAAATATTCCTGTGCTGAGGATGGGGGGTTGGGGGCATGATTCATTTTTGCTGAAGAGGAATGAGATGGTTCAGCCTCCCCCCTCATATCCCCTGAAACTCAGCCTGGAGGGAGGATGAGATTATCTCATTTGAAAGTAAATAATAAAGAAATCAACGATTGGTTGTGAACAGACTTTCTCAAAGCCCTCCAGAGTAGTGATGGAACCCTTGGAAGACAACTGGAAATTTGCCCCCTAGCTGGTGGGAGTAAGTGTGTGGTGTGCATTTTTCCTGGGGGAGATGGTGCAGATCCTGGATACTATGTTCAGTGGTGTCAACCCTTAGGATTTGCCCAGCCTAGTCAGGGAGGTGGCCTCCTCTATCCCACTGCCAGAGCCCTAAGGTCCTGGCTCTGATGGATGACCTCAAAGGGAGAGGCAGAACCTGTTATGTCCCAACAGAGCTCAAATCCTAAATTAAACAATGGAAACACGGCCATTTTCCTGGCTCCAGATCCTATGGCCCCTACCTGGAGGCCCCCACTCATTGAATCCTAGCCAGCGCTGGAAGACACACCACTGGGTGAGGCAGTATCCAACGTATCTCTACTAGCAACAGCAGAGCTGGGGAGCTCATCCTGATGTGAGGAAAGAGATGCGTGGCCACACACAGTCTGGAAACCTCATCATAACATCACCCTCCCAAGGGTGAGGCCCATGTCCCCATTGCCCTCTTGCCTCCACCCCTTGTGGTTGCCAACAACCATTATCCCAATCCCTCCTCCCACTCCCCCTGCACCTCCTGAGCATCAACAAGAAAGGCTGACCCTAGAGATAAACACGTGCTGTTGGAATGTGTTCAGATATCACTGCAGAACAGTTTCTGTCTTGGGAGAGGACCTCGCCTGACAGGCTGGCCCAGAGGTACTGAGCAGAGACTGTGTGTGCATGTCTGTGAGAATCATTGAGATGGTGGGGGAGGGAACTGGACTGAGGCCTATCTATTCTGGAAAGAATCTAACTCCTAGCTTTCATGACATCTCCCTCTGTCCACCTTAGACAGAGGACTGGGCTTTGCCCCTTATAATTCTAACACCGGGAGGGGAAGCAGAGAGGACTATGTGTAGGCTCCAGGAGAAAGATTCACTTTGGGTTTTAATCAAAAACTCTTTTGACTGCCACTGGGTGGAGGGATCCTCTCTAGTCATAAAAAGCAATATGAGCTTTGGCTGTCTTCAAACAAAAAAGTGTCATTCTCCGCATTTATAGATGGGGCAACTGAGGCCCAAAGAGGCTGGTTTGTGTGATGATAGAATAGGATCTCCCTGTTTCCAGGGTAGAGGGAGGTCCCTGGGTGGTGCAAATGGTTAACACACTTGGCTGATAACCTTTGAAAGGCTGAAGGTTCAACTTTACTCAGAGGTGCCTCAGAAGAAAGGCCTGCCAATCTACTTCTGAAAACTCAGCCATTGAAAACCCTATGGAACACAATTCTACTCTGATACACATGGGGTTGCCATGAGTTGGAGTTGACTCGGCAACAACTGATGGTGGTTTCCAGGGATAGCACTCTTTCTACTCCTCTACTCTGCAGAAAGCAGGAGGGACATGCCCTAAGGTAGATACTGAGATGACTAGAATCATTGAGGGAGGGAGTTCTGGTAGCACCCACATTCACAGAATTGCCATCACCTTTACCCATGGTGCTAACTTAAACCACCATACTCACACTCATAAACTTCTTTACAAAGTCATAGGGCTGAAAGCTCAGACTATCAGTTATACAGTTGCTAAAACTTTTTGGAGGGAGAGAGAGGAAGAATACTGGAGGAAGAAATAGCAGTATAGTACTCTGAGAAAACTTCATGGATGAATGGGTTCCCAGGCTATTGCATCTGAACAATTCAGGGAGAATTTTAAGTGGAAGTTAGATTAGTCCAAAAAACGAATAGCTACAGTCTGTGTGCTGCTGCTGAGCCCTACTTTGGAATTATTTGCAGCTGTGAGCCTGCTGTTTACGGTGTTTTAGCAATGGTCTCATTGCTACCTGGGAAGCAAACATTTTCATTTTGCAAGCATTTGCCAGAAAAACAAATATTTTTCAACCACAAAGAATACCTGAAGAATGCTAGGGGCACAGCTAGAGG